CTAATTTTTGCCAGTCCTATTTGGCAGGCTTATTGAATTACAGCTTTAGTTTCCTTTAAACCTAGGGTCTGTTTATCATCTGCAGGAATGTTATAGATTCAGCATTTTAAAGCTACAAGTATTAGTGTTGTGTTTTCCTCTGTCTTTATCTCTAGCAATCTGGGTGAGCAAAGAACTTTTAGCTATAGCAGGAGCTTCCTGTAAAACACAGTACATGACCGTGCTTTCCTCATCTGCCAAATCCTTTCTTTCTTCTTAAGTCCTAGACCCTTCTCCACTAGTTTAGGTGGACATTTGCTCACTTTCACAGGAATCAATAAGTGTGAAATGTTTTTTAATTTTTAAAAAAATAACTAGTAGACATGTAAGTAACATATCATTAAGTATATGAGCAGGACTCTATATACTACTGCTACAAGCCACAAGGTAGAAAGGCTCCCCATCTAGCCATTTATAAGTACATTATGACTAATGGAAAACACAGGCAGGAAATTAGATAATCTCAGAAAGATATAAATATGGACAGTTTAGGAAGGACTGGCTGGAAGTTAAGAATAAGTAGATTTATAACTCTTGTAGGCATAAATGAATTGTGGCTTAGCCTGATTGATAATTTCACTTGGTCACACTCATGCTAGGCTCTGCATATTTTTGGAAGATTTTGTCAAAACTGATGTATTCCTTAAAAAAGAAGTAATTTGCTTTGGTAGCTTGCTTAACAAAAGCCTAGGAGATAGGATGGGAGATAATAATAAAATATTAAGTGCAACAAGGATTTTTTTGTGAAAGGGAGCAGTGTTTTGTTTTGTTATTTACATGGAGTTTTGCTACACAGAGGAAATCTACATCTAATTGACTATTTCATTTGGAATGTAACAGACTCTGGCTGATTCTTAATCATAAGTATGGGTCTATCCCACTGAACAAGCTTTTTAAATATGATTAAAAACCAGTTTTAAGATAAATAGTCTGTGTTCAACTAATTGCTTATTTTCTGGGTCAGTGCATCTTGGCAAAATACTATGTAGTTTTCTCATATCTAATAACAACCTCTTATAAATGTATAATGTTCTTCATTATAAAAAAAACTTCATTATCAAAAAATAAGCATAAGCTTCCTGTGAATAGTCATACATCCCATGTATAAGTCATTACATATATACCCCAGGTTCAAACGACCTTTCTTAGAGTCATGATAACTTATTGTCTTTAAAACAAAAAGAAGCCCTTTTCATATCTTCCAACCCATTCATTACTTGCAAAGTCTTACAAGCAGAACCAACAGCTGATTTCCACATAATACGTATAGATCTAGTTCCATTTCCTTGCATCCAATAGATATTTATAGACATAAAATCATTGTTAGTAAATAAAGGCATATTTTACTAATAGATGCAAAACCTAAAATGTATAAAGATGCTTCATTGCCCACCAAATAATTTATGAATGTAATGTAGTCATGGCGATGGATAATTCCAGAGTTTAACTGAAAACAAACAAATGAACCCCAGTATGCAAACTCATTGTGTTAATAAAATTTAGTAAGTATAACACTTTACCTAAGTTTCAAATCAATGATAGAAAAGATAAACAATTTAATGAATATTGTCCATCAATTTTGGGAAAAAATTACATCTGAGACTCAGTTTTAGTTGGATTATGATTTGAATGTAAAAATGGATGTATTAAATTATTAGAAAGTTACAGATTAATATTTTTAATATCTTGGAGTCAGAATTTTCAGTAAGATTATTAAAATTTATTATTAAAATTTATTTAATAATTATGAAAAATTATTAAAATTTAGTGATACCTTGAAATCATTCTACTTTCAAAATTCAGTTTAGCCAGAGATATTCTCCTTATTTATTTTACTTACCCACCTCTTATTCATTTATCAAGTTTCAGAGTCTACTGAATAATTATGTAAATACACAATAAAAATATTTTAAGTCAGAAAATTAAAGTATTACAAATCACATTTGTTACAAAGAACTTCAGATGACATTTTATTTCTAGCTCCTAACTTTAATTCAGTGTAGTTATAGTCAGAGGTTCAGAATCTCAGAGAGCTTGAATGGACCCGAGAAGTCTTACAGTATAAACTTGTTTTACAGATTTAGAAAGCAGGAGTTCACACAGGTCTCCCCTCTAGGAAGACCAACAACCCAATTAAAAATAGGCAAAGGGACGGAACAGACACTTCTCCAAGGAGGGACACACAGAGGGCTCAGAGACATATGAAAGGATGCTCAGCATCACTAGCCATCAGAGAGATGCAAATTAAAACCACAAACCACAAGATACCACTTCACACCGGTCAGAATGACCATCATAAACAAAGCAACAAACAAGTGCTGGAGAGTGTGTGGAGAAAAAGGAACTCTAGTACACTGTTGGTGGGAATTCAGACTGGTGCAGCCACCATGGAAAACAATTTGGAATTTCTTCAGTAAACTAAAAATGGAACTTCTTTTGACCTGGCAATTCCATTGGTGGGATTATACCCTAAGAATCCTGAATCACCAATTCAAAAAAAACCCATGCACCCCAATGTTCATAACAGCACAATTTACAATAGCCAATTGTTGGAAGCAACCTAAGTGCCCATCAGTAAACAAGTGGATCAAAAACCTATGGTACATTTACACAATGGAATTCTATGCAGCAGAAAGAAAGAAGGAGCTCCTACCCTTTGCGACAGCATGGTTGGAACTAGAGAGTATTATGCTAAGTGAAATAAGCCAGGTGGTGAAAGACAAATACTATATGATCTCGCCTATAATTGGAACCTAATTAACAAAACAAACAAGAAAGCAAAATATAACCAGAGACATTGAAATTAAGAACAAACTGATAGTGACCAGAGGGGAGGTTGGAGGGGATAACAGGGGGGAAAGCAGGAAGAGTTGTCAAGGAACAGGTATGAAGGACACATGGACAAAGCCAAAGGGGGGTAGGATCAAGGGTAGGAGGTGGGGATGGCTGAGGTGGGGGAGAAAGTGATGGGGGGAGAAATGGAGACAACTGTACTTGAACAATAATAAAAAAGAGGAAAAAAAGTAAGTAGGAGTTCAGGAGAATTTGTTGATTCCCTTCATATCTCACAGTAGTAGATGAACTAAGATTAGGAGTTCCCTTACCTAAGTCTCATCTCTGTGATTCTTTCATTAAGTTAAAATTAAACCATCTATGAGTCAAGCTAATATGATAGCAAGCTGCAGTCCTGGTTCTCAATTATATGTTTTAGTCTCCCCAGAGATAAGTTTTCAACCTCTTTATGCTGGATTTTGTGATACGCATATTCACCTTAAACACCTTAAATTTTACCTTTTAGAAATAAAATTTTTAAATTACAAAATGGGCAATTAATATGAAGTTATGTATACATGAAGTATATATATGTGAAATTTGTATATATGTATACATACATATATATCTTACCAATAGTGTACAAGTCAGAGATCAATCTAATGAAGAGAAAGAAGTTTAAATTTGGATCTTTTACTTTTAAACTACTTCCAATTAATTTCCTTCAAACTATTAAAAATATCAGAATTTATAACTTGAAAAGATACTTAGAAAAAGTATTGTGTAATTCTCTTAATTTCCACATGGTGATTGCTGGTACATGGAGAGTAGAGGCCTAGTAAGCTCTTTGCTCTATGTCCTCATTAAGCAAAATTGAGGCCTTATAAAAATTGGTCTGGCACCACTTCACAGAAGAACATCCAGGAAGAGAAACCCAGCTGTCAGATATAAGTAGGTATTCAGAGCATTCAGACCTTGTCTGAAGGAACAGTGAGTCATATGAAGTGCAATGTGCAAAGGAAGCTGACACGTAAAAGGATAAAACAACAATGTTGAGTTCCCAAAGACATGCTGAGGGGCAAAGAATAATTATAGAGGCTCTATTTTGGGGCCCAACAGAATAACTTGAGAATTTAAAAATCAGAAGAAGAAATTATGTCACTCAACTTTGATTTAAAATGAAATAATTTAGTACCATTTATTTAATATTAATGCTATTATAGTTTATTAGGATGATGCATGATTTAGTTGTTAAATACTTAGGAGTCTAACAATGACTTTGGACAGGAAAGCTACTTTAATTTTATAGGAAAGGGGGCTAAATGTATAATAATTGCACAATTAACAGCTTACCTGGCATGGAACTATAATGCCAAACATAAGACACCCCCAAGGGCAACAGTATTCTTTTTGGAAGCACCAACGTCCCTGAAGCTTGTAGTTCATGTCCAGGATTTAAACTGAAACTGCTTTGCCAAGGAGTTCTAAAAATAGTACCTTGAAGAACTTACATCTTTTAAAGTGCTCACCCTCCACCCATTTTCCTGTTCCCTTATTTATAAATGGTATCCTTTAACGTTTCAATTATGAGAAAGGGTCATAGCCATTTATAGAAATGTAACAGCGACTATGTGAATCAGAAAAAAAAACAATTCTTCAGAAGAAAGGAATTTAGTTCAAATGAGCAATGTACCCTTATTATTTTACAACATGAAACAGCTTGTTTTCTATATATGTATAGTATCATATAGTTACAGTTATTAAATTAACCATAAGCATTAATATCTGTGTATATGCATATATATGTATGTGATGTTTGTGGCTAATATTACCAAATTACTAATATTACTAAATCTGATAGGATCTATTCACATTAATTTAACACTGCTATCCTATGGCCAATGGCACAAGAACAAGATGTTTAAATCCATACCCAAGGGTCCCAAAGAAATGGTTTTGTAAGTTTTGTAACATCTTTTCTTAAAGATGCCCTTATGTTTGTCTTTATCAGTATTTGGTTAGACTGATTTTCAAAGTTTTCCTTTAGTCAGAAGTTACCTGAAGTTGTTATATATAATTCTGAGAAATCTTTCTCACTATTGTTAATGCGTTCGTATCATCCTCAACCTCAGTGGAATTCCAGCCCACTACTGTGAAGTCGTGAGTGTTCTACGTAACATAGGCAATACCTGAAAGTAGGGCCATCCAGAGTTTTGACAGGTGGCAGCACAAGTGGTGGGTGTATCATCGTAGTACCCTGGACAACAAGAGAACATTGCTGTGAATTGGGTTAAAATGTGAATAGTGAATAGTGGAATTTTACAGAACTTAAAATTTTGTAGGTTTTTTTGTTAGAATCTTAAACATATGTATTTTAAATGTTGATTTTACTGGGAAGTTGGTTGCCACCATGCTAGCCTGCAAGTAAAACTTTGTTCTTGGGACCTTACTTCTTCAGAATGAGGGTAGCAAGGAGCACGTGCATAAAGGATGATCCCTGTTGTCCAAGAGCTCAGCACTAGGAAGAGGAGAGTGCCTTGACATGTTCAGGAGAAAGGTTGTTGCTGGAAGAAAGAGTAACCTGGTCAAATGACTGTAAGGAGGAAATGATGGGGGTGGTTCAAAGTGAAGAAAGAGGATCAACGTGATCAACGAGGAATTAGTGAGTGGGAAGAGAGACAGAGACCTTGCCACAGAGGGAGGCAGAGGCTGGACCACAGCAGTAATGAGGTCTACCTTTCCTTTAATATAGAGGATTATTAACAAGTGAGGTTCATCCACTGCTAAACAAAGACTTCAAGTATATAAACAAGTTTTATGTGCATCTTCTCAGGCTCAAACTGATGTTAAGATCAAGATATAGGCATAACCTAGTTTACCTTGTTTCTCATTTACATACTGTTTAGACTTGTAGAACTTCAAAAATGTCAAAATTGCACTTACAACTTGTTTATCTTCATTAGCTTTATTGGGATTTGAGATGCTTCTATTGACTTACCCTTATGAATTATCAGTTTGCTGCTAATTCTAATAATAATCTCTGAATTATTCTGAATTATTGCCAAGGATTTCTATGCAGTCAACATAGTTCTTTAAGTGAAAACTCAAAAGCATTAAGAAAACTTACATTAAAATCAGTCTTATCTCTGCAATCAAATATTTTCTGATAAAAATATTTTAATTATTTTATAACATAACTACTTTTACAACTTTATGCATTTTAATAATTTATTATACATTATTATAAATTGTCTAGTTTATATTACAATAGGTTCATGATCTGATCATATTAAAGATATGTGTATTTTTATATCAATTAACACTGTATTATATTTAGAATCTGGATGTTCTATAAGCTATTTTGAAAAGAATAAAAACTCTTGTCAGTCTCAGCCTTTACTGGTATATGTATGGCCTACAGAAAGTTCAAAGTTGAAATTTATTTTGAGTGTTTTCCCAACTTGCTGGAAATGGCACTAGAAATAGAAATGATATGACATGTTATTGTTTTTTCTTTTCTGCATAGTTTTAGAGGTTTAATTTGTCATCGCAGCTGAAAATGCTACAAAATAATCTTTCTCCCCTTTTGGTGATTTGGAATAACTAGAAAACAACCCTCTGGCTATTAGAAAGTTTGTTGATGAGCTAATTTTGGTTAGTTAGTATAAAATAATGTACATGTCTTCATGGTCTTCCACTTTCTTCTGAAAACTATCAGAATCTATAGTACCAAAAATATATTAATATTCAAGAAGAGAGGATACATAAAAAACATTATAAATTCTTAGTGAAAATAACAGAGACACCTACAACTAAAAACAAAACAATCCAACTGATTTTGTGGAAGTAGACCCATTGGCTGAAGAGATTACACAATGACCAAAATCAACTAAAACTTAAAAATACAAAAAAGAAATACAACAAATAAGAAAACAGATAAATCTTTATCAAGAGGAAATCAGAACCCTGAAGAAATACATTGGTTAAACTCAGCTAATGGGTATAAGAGCATCAAGTGGTCTCCATGTTGAAGGAGTATACTAAAGACACGTACTTTAATGCCTTTTATGATGTTTTCACGTATAAGAAATAATTTTTACCACAGTAGAAAGATACTATCTCTTTCAAGAGATTTTTAAGTGAAATAAATAATTTTAAATGTTCAAAAAATTATAAAAACACACAATACATGCCATTACACATTTGTGCAAACTCATAGAATGTCTAGCACCAAGAGTGAACCCTAATGTAACCTACTGACTTTGTGCAATCATGATGTGTCAATACAGGTTCACTGATTGTAACCAAAGCACCATTCCAACAGAGGATGCTGGTGATGAGGGAGGCTAGGCATGCGTGGGGACAGGGAGTATATGGGAAATTTTTGTTCCTTCTCTTCAATTTTGCTGTGAACCTAAAAGTGGTTTAAAAAATAGTCTACAAAAACATACACATACACACACATGTCTGAATGGAACTATTCACTTCCTTCCTCTTTATTTTGAAGGAGATTTTGATATGTATTTGATGGCATCGTTGAATAGAGGGAAATGGGTTGTTAGGAATATGGTTCTCAGCATTCATAATCTGTGCCCTCGTTCATGATGAGAAGTGCTGTTCATACCTTCCAGTTCTGAAAGCGATAACACCTATGCTTTCCATTCCCTGGACGTCCTAACCAAAAAGAGACAGTCCTTCTCTAAATAATTATAAACAAAAAGTGGCTTAACCATAATTCTCCAAAATTAAGTTATTGCTATCCAATTAGAAACAAATGTTTTAGGGGGAAATTTTAATTCATTTTACATACCAATCTGCTGTAATTCATAGTTAAAGCAATGCATATTAAAACTATGAGATACTACAAACACCCACCAGAGTGAGGAAATTTTTACTAAAAAGTTTGACAGTAATACAAAGTATCAGAAAGGATGTGGTGCAATGGAAAACTCACACACTTGGTAGGAGTATAAATTGGTATGAGTACTTTGAATTCCTAGGATCCTGAAATCCCACTGGCAAGTGCATTCATTAGAGAAACTCAGGCACCTGTGTACCAAGACATACTACAAAAAAGTGTTCATTGCCTCATTGTTATGACAGCAAAATGGTGGAAACAATCCAAATGTCTCTCAGCAGAAGAAAGAATAAATGCCTGTGGTACATACATACTATGGAATTCTGCAACGAAGAAAACAAAGAGCCACACTCATGAACAGAGATGCATCTCCAAAACACAGGGCTGAATGAAAGAAGCAAGTCTCTAAAGACTATATTCAGAATGATTCCACTTTCATAATAGTAAAAATAAAAACAGCAGAACTAAATTGCTTAGAATTCATATATGTGTGGTAAAGTCATGTAATGAAGCAGGGAATGGTGAGGACAAGTTTAAGACAATAGTTTACATCAGGAGACATGTATGTGATGATCAAGAAGGAACAAGATAGACAACCGAAGTCTAGGTATTGGGTATTTATTTATTGAAACTGTGTATTTATGCTACACATAAACTATATGTATGAGATTTACAAGTTTAAAAAGTATTTTGTAGAACAGTATGAAGATTATGATTCCTTACTCTGGATTATACATTGTTGTGGACTTATGGATCAAAATATTAAAATGCAGTGTATTTGGGATAGGTCAGGGTGGATGGGTGGAGGATGGCATTGCCTGACACAGCACAATCCAGTTTGAAAGTTTACTTCCTTTAGTCAGAATATTGTTCAGATCAGACCTCTCACAATATAAAGCCTTAGCATTTTACCAAAAATGATTTAGGTGTGCAAATTCTATTTGGCTTTAGGTTACTTTCCAATTTATACAGAAAATTTTGGAACACTGATGATAAACACCTAGGAAACATGTAAGTGTATTCCAATGAAAGAGGAGTCAGTAAAGTTGTATTTTGTATTTTTACCAAGTTCCTGAGACTTGTTAGGATATTCAGACAGGGGAAATGTCTCAAATCATCAAAGTAATAATTCTCAAAGCGAGAATTAGAGGGAAAAGTAATATATACAAAGTCTGTCCAGAAAAAATCCAGCCATTGTTAATACAGTGTCCAGCAGAAATAACTCTTGCTTGAATATGATTGGTAGGGTGATAATATGGGTGTAATAATTTATAGTTTTAATTTGAACATTTCACCTAAATGTCATATGGTGTGCTTGAGTGTGATATTATTATGTTACACAATTACATGTTTGTGATTTTGTAATAAAAGATGTAACAAAAAATCGCATTATTTGTGCTGGGCCCTGTGTAATGAGAATGTCTGCACAACATCCACGTAACTGGCAGCCAAGAAGAGTGGACTGGAATACACATGTGTGAACAATGACAGCTTCACTGTACCAGTCAGTGGGGGTGGTAGATACCATTGAGTGAGCAGGTGCACTATGTGGCCATCACATTCAGAATGAGCAAGTAGAGCAATGAATCTGCATCAAATTTTGCATTAAGCTTGATCATTCCTCCATGGAAACTATCTGGATGATTCAGAAGGCTGCAGTTATTGGCAACTGGTGATGGTCAGCTTTATCATGACAATGTACCTGCTCATGTATCATGTCTCATTCAGAATTTTTTTGAGAAACATCAAATCATCCAGGTGACTCAGCCACCGTATAGCCGAGATTTGGTGCCCTGTGACTTCTGGCTTTTCCCAAAACTATGAGTAAGATCACTTTTGAAAGGAAAGAGGTTTCAAACCATCAGTGAGATTCAGGAAAATACAATAGGGCAGCTGATGGCAATTGAGAGAATGGTGTGAGGTTCCAAGGTGTGTACTTTGAAAGAGACTGAGGAGTCATTGTCCTATGTACATTGTTTCTTATATCTTCTTCAATAAATGTCTCTATTTTTCATAGTACATGGCTGGATTCCTTCTGGACATTCTTAATATGTCTTGTTATTTACGTGTAGTTCAGTGTGAATTTGTGTTTATCATTTTATTATTTAGACATGTGTCGTGATCACTCCTTTTTATTATTATAATTTTGAACCTAATCATGTTATCATGTTTTATTCTCACAACATCCAGAGTCCAGTAGAGAGAAAACTTTTCAGGAAACACAGGGATCATATGAGCATCACCTCCCTCTCTGTATGCTGAGCACAGCCTGACTGATTCTGTAGGTTTGAAATGAGCCAGGGGTTTGCCTTTTACCAAACAGCTCTGCTACTTTAAATGTAGTATGATTAATGTAGCCCAATTTCTGGACTACCTTTTGAGAAACTGTCCTAGGCAGA